TAGAAAAAGCTGAAATGAATGCGGTCACTGCCTTCCTCAATATCGTCATTTACAAAGTTGCAAGACTGAGTAGAGGGTATGAATCTCAGTCCATCACTTCAGATGTGCAAGAATTGTCACATACCTATTACTTTATATAATGACTTAGTTGTAGACCCCTAGCAGCTAATCTACTAGGGGAGTCGGGGAGAGAGCCTACCTCCTTCCTGGAGTTCTTTATCCCAGGGATTTACACAGTCCCATGGTATTGGGATAGAGAGAGAAGCACTCATTCATTTGGTCCTCCTTCTCCAGAAAATTTGGATGAGTTGTCTCCACTGCTGAGGCTTATCTGCTACTTCAGTAGATTAGCTCTCTACCACTTTTATGACCCACTGATGAACACAGGAAATTTGGGTGGGGTGGGGATGGCTATCATCCCATCTGCCAACGCATGCCATACAGTCATTCCTCTGAGGGCCTTGCAGTTTCCTAGATGACATTCCAGGGAAGGAAGGCACAGAGAGCCTCTGCTCAGGGACCTACTTGACCTCTGTCTCCCTCTCTCTCTCCCAGCCCAAGAACATCTATTTTTCATTCTAGAAAGAATCCATCTCTTTCTTTGTTTTTCCCTCATACTCTGTCCACAAACACCTTAAGCCAGGGCCACTCAGGGATAGGAAGGCGGTGGTGGGACTGTGGTGAATTGGAACGCACATGCCCATCTCTGGCCAAGTTGCACCAGCCCACCACACATTTATGCTCCCCCTACCATGGAGTAGAGTCTTTGCCAGGAGGTTGCTGTTCAGGCAGGCTCCACATTTCCCAACTCCTCTTGCATCAGGGCGGGTCATATGACTGGGACCTACCAACGGAATAGAGCAGAGGATGTCACTTTCAGACCCATTCCACAGGCTGAAATCAAAGACTCCAAGACCCAGGAAGGAAGGAGCCTCAGGCTCTGAATCACCTGCTCTGGGCTTGTTATACATAAATGAGAAATCAACTTCTCCTGGGTCATGCCACTGAAATCTGAAGGGCTGTGTTATTCTAACTAATACACTATTCTCAATGCAACAGCTGTAGCTCAGATCTAGCTGCTTTTTGCCAGGTGGGCAAACAAGGTTGTTCAAGCTACTGCCCCATTTTAAAAGAGAAACTAGAAACCCAGACTGTTATGTGATGCTCCTCAATTTTTAAATGTTGACAAATTTAAGTTTCAGACAACACTGTACAGATCAATATTATGAGGGGCCAGACCTAGCTTCTCTGCAAGTCTGATCACCAGCTCTTCTTCTAAGGACTACTTTATAGTGTTTCCCCATGAATTTCCTCTAATTCAGCAAGGAACACCCTCGGCTTCCTGCTTGAATAAGGAAACAGGAAAAGTGAAGACACTGGGGGAAATATAATTTAATCTCGAAATATTATTTTGTCACCTTGCCTATTTTCTAGTGCAGCTGTATAATGAAAGCCCACGAAACCCTTGCATTTAGGGAGGCACCTCATCTCCTAGTAGATTCTCATTTAGCAGGTTAAAACAGCTTCTTTATGAAACTCATGATTTGTGAATATCAATTTTCAGAGGTATTATTTATTGAGCCGTTACTATGTCTAAAAGATGGGCTCTGATGCAATTTCCAGTCAGATTGCTGTCCTGTTTAGAGGGGAGTGGGGAGGGAAGGCAGCTCTGAGGAAGGAAGAAAACCTGTTTGAAAGAAAGTGAGATTATTTCTGCTGCCCATTTTGTAAGTTAGAGTTGAAGATCCTTTTTTCTTATAATTCATTATTTCCAGAGAAAATGGAGAATGGGGCGAGGGAGTCATCCCAGTTTATGTAGCAAAAAAGAAATAGTCACAGTCCTATTACACTCTTCATTCTGACCCCAACTGACAGAAAAAGATACCCATTTTACAACCCCAGTTTATTTCCTCACCCTACTTTGCTTCTTTTTTTTTACTGTGATAAAATATACATAACACAAAATTTACCATCTTAACCATTTTTAAATGGAAAATTGCGGTGGCACTAGTACCTTCACATGATTGTGCAGCCATCAGCACTACCCATCTCCAGAACTTTTTCCATCTTCCCAAAATGAAGCTCTCTGTTCCTGTTAACAATGTACCCGTTAAACAATACCTCCGTTCCCCCTCTCCCAGCTCCTGGAAACCATCATTCTACTTACTGTCTCTGAATTTGACTACTCTAAGTGAAACCCAGCAGGACCCTGCAGGGCTTTCCTGAGGACAGACCTTTTGCATCCCCCACCTCTTGTTTATAGGAATAGCTTCTTAGGCCAAGTTCTGAAGAAGAAATTTAGTCAGAAAAGTAAGGAAATGCAGAAACAAAGGAAAGCATTCAAGCAAGACAAAATTACAATAGTTTAGCCTTAAAACAAAGTCAAGGACCTTTAGTTCCTCCTCAAGGGCTGTAGATGATATCCTGAGCTCTATCCTTGAGCTGTTTTGCAGATATTAAAACCCCTACTAGGTGAAAGAAGTTAATTGCATGCTGACTACCAGCCTGTAGACCCTAGACGGGCTGGAACCAGAAGGTTGATGTGAACTCCCGAAATACCACTCTTTTACCTCACCACCAACCAATCAGCATAATCTCCACGAGCTGATCAATCACCCTACAACCCTCACCTCTAACGTAGCCTTTAAAAATCCTTCCCTGAAAGCCAGGCGGGGAGTTCCAGGTCTTCTGAGCATTAGCTGCCTTTTCTCCTTGATTAGCACCTTGCAATAAACCCTATAATTTTCTTCACCACAACCCAGTGTCAGTAAAATGGCTTTACTGCACATTGGGCTAGTGGACCCAAGTTTGGTTTGGTAACATAAGTACCTCCTATCAGTGGAACATATGGAATTTGTCTTTTGTGACCTACTTATATCACTTAGCAGAAGGTCTTCAAGGCTCATGCATTTTGCTTTACTTTTTCAACTTTTAAAAAAATAGACTATCTTTAGAGCAGTGTTAAGTTCACAGCAAAATTGAGAGGACAGTACAGAGATATCCCATCTACCTCCCACCCCCACACATGCATAGCCTCTCCCGTGATCAACATCCCCCACCAGAGTGGTCCATTAGTTGCAATCAATGAAACTACACTGACAAGTATTTATCACCAAGAGTTCGGAGTTTACATTAGGCTTCGCTTTGGGGGTTGTACATTCTATTTTGGATGATGACATGTATCCACCATTACCATATCACACAGAATAATTTCAGTGCCCTCAAAATCCCCTGTGCTCTGCCTATTAGTTCCTCACCATCCCCACCACCACTTTTTGCTTCATTTCTAAATAATTGGTACAGAGAGCACCCTACAGCAAATTTCATCCAAGTAAAATCTCTAAGGAGGTCATTTTAAGAGAAGTGCTCTCTATGGGTCAGTGGGCAGAACTACACAGTGAACTGCACACTACTTATATCTCCTGACATCCTAAAAAGATTCTGATGTAGTAAAAAGCATCAGAAATTTAAAAATCAGATAATGTACTTATTTCACTACTTTTCTAAGGAAAGTAACAAAACTCCTGGTACCACCTCTCAAGTTTGTAGACACACTATTCACCACACCCAGTGTGCTGGCCCTGGCTATACACATATGCATTTTTTGGACC